GAGGAGGAGGAGGAGGAGGAGGAGGAGGAGGATAAAGAAAGATAAGAAGAAAAAGAGGGAGCAATCAGGCTGTTCCAGAGAGGATCTTCCCCGGGCGATGCGAAACCTTGATAATTTGACTGCGAGACTACCGCAAAATATGTGCAGAGGAGACCAGTGAGCAATGCTGCCAGGAGACTGTATCGCATGTCGTACTTAAGCCGACCCTCGGGAGGAGGAGAAGGTGGTGGAGCAAATGGAAGGGGAAAAGGGTGAGAAGGCGAAGAAAAAACGTAGAAGAACAAATAGGAAGAGAGAAAGAAGGGACTGAATAGAAAGTAAATACATTATTGGGGGAAGTACGCAAGCACTTACCGCTCCTGGCCAGCGGTGTCCCAAAGCTGCAGATGAAGGCGCTGTTTCTGGCCGAGCAGGCCATTAGCATTTTTGTTCTCCCGCACAACGCGCTTCTGTCGAAAATCCACCCCCACGGTGGGATGCATGTTCGCATTGAAGACATTGTCCGTGTACTGGTAGAGGAGGCTAGTTTTGCCGACGTTACTATCACCTGGGGGAAGGGGAACGCAAGAAAACAGGAATGCCGCATCAGAACAAAAGCCACGACGACGCCTACTAGGTTGCTGCTTTTAGACTCTGATGTGAGGTCTACCTGGAGAGAATGCGGGTTAATGGCAAACAGGTTGCATGTTTCGAAATAAAAACGACTTTTAATAGCGGCAACTGGGCTCTGTTTCGCGAAACTTACCCCCCCCCTCACAAAGGCTTGCAAAGTGCCGACATAAATAAAACTTGCATGGTCCAGTTGAAACAGTAAGTTTGAAATATAGCGACTAATAACCATGTAAAAACGTGACAGGCCCGTTATTTATGCATTTCGGACACTTCTAATGAGGCAATGAAATTGGAAATATGAGTTCTAGGAACTCAGTTCTTCTTACTATTCGACTATGTCCAAGATGCGGCATTTCAAAGGCTTCCTAAACAGGACGCTGGGATAGGAACGCCCCACGTAGGCAATAAAGAAGGAGTAAATAGTTCTGTGTCCTAACCGTAACTCTAGCCTTATCCGCACCGACAGGGAGTCGTTAATTGTCTTAAGTGTGCAGTAGGGACTGTATCCTATAGATACTGCAATCCCCTGTGCATGAATTACTCGTTTCTACTAATATCTCAGAGGAAGGATCCACGACGGATCTCAAAGCGTCAGGCGAATAAAGGTCTTGTCCCAGCTATCACATCTCCTTCACAATTACTTCTTAGGACTTGCATGTTCGTTTGTATTGGCTTATGCACATCCCTAAACACGAACACTCCAATTTGCAGTAACATAACCCCAATTTCATTGGAATTCGGTTCCTGTTTCCATGTCCTGGTAATCCTTAGCGGGGG